GTGATCGCGCAGTGCTTCCCTTCCGAGAGTGCCGAGAAGCTTCTGCAGCAGGGGCCCCGGTTTTTTGCAGCCCCGATCTCGAGAGTTGACCTGTACTTGAGTTTAGGGTGTAGGTGTTGGGGTTTTAGTTCGGATTCATTGATCCAAGACTTGTTCTAGTCCAACTCTGGAGATTCTCGTGCCGGGGGCCTGGCAGTGTGACGTGACTTGGCTTTGAGTCGAGGCAAGTCTGCTGCCTGACCAGCACCACAGTTCGTGTGCGGCTGATGATCGCGTTGCTGGGTCGTTGTCCAGGAGCTTACGAGCTTACATGAGGATACCATCATAGTAAATCATATGAATTCCGCGTTATGACAGCTTCAACTAGGCACAAGAACCGAGGTTTCTCCTCAATGCATGCTGGTTGCCTTTCTACGTCAACCTGTACTGGGGCAAGTCTCTGATTATCATCGTCGCCTACCTCCTTTTTCTGCTCTTGGCTTACATCGACATCAACACCACGACTACGACCTCGTTCTGGGAGTGGGTTGTGTACGGTGCGGGCATTGCATGCAACATCAGTTGGGTGCTTGTGGCGACCGCCGCCAACAAGTTCACTCTTCTCGGCTCCTTCGGTTGGCAGGACGTCTATGGAGTTGCCGGGACCCCATGGGCCGCGGTCCTTGTTGTCGCCGTCGTTGCATCCGTGGCCGTTGTGATAGGCACAATGCGCAGCGATTTTGCTTGGTCGATTACAGCAGCCTGGGCTCTAGCAGGGCTGCACAGGCAGCACACGATCTCCGACCCGAGCAGCTTCCCTCCGGAAGCCATGAACCAGACGTTGGCCATGTGCGCGCTCTGGGCGGCCATCATGGTTGGGGTAGCAACGGTGACCGGCCTCTTCCTGATCCCTTACAATGGCGTCTTCAAGTCCAAGGGTCGGGAGATAGAGCACAAGCCCCTGATTGTAGGATGATCTCCTGTTAGCCGAAGAAGAAGCTCGACGTCGTGTACGGTGGCCTCAACGAAGATTGATGGGTGCTGAGCACGGTGCAGGGGTTGGGACTCAGGGTCAGATGTCAGCACAGGTAGGTAGGGAAGTGCTGGAACATGGAACCAGAGCCTTTGCAACTCCCTGGCCTCCTCCAGCAAAGACAAAGCACTCCCGAAACTTGAGCCCAAACAAGCTCCGCCCCCCATTCTCTCAACTCAAGACGAGGTCGTCATTGAACGTGTGTAGAGAATTTTTCATAGGCAGCTTCGCAGGAAGAGGAGATCAGGCCGCAAATGGCTCTGAAGTAGATCTGATTTTGAGTATCCTTTGGGCAAGTGAGTTAGTTTGAGATCTTCCACTGCGCGAGTGGATGCCGTGTCAAAGTCATGATGCCTGCAAGGAAGTCGTTCGAGCAGCCGCCTAGTGATCCCCCAACCTGAACACTGAAGAAGCTGCTCGAGTGGCATAATTCCATCAGATGACAAGGATTTGATGGTCACAGTGTCGAACGAAGCAGAGCAGTTGGCTACGACTGCTCTATTGCACCCGCTGGTTGGACTTAACAGATTTAGCATTGTTGGTTGTTTGTAGACATCCCTCCTATCACGCAGCATCCTGCACCACTGTTGTTGAAGCATAGTCTCAGCTGCTGTCCGGGCTAGAACTTGCCCCGCAAACTGCTTGGACTGCAGGGAGACCTGAAAAGACACGCCGCGCCGAGCCGCTTCAGATCTGGCGGAGTCTTCATTCTCCTCGTCAGCCTTTGGTCCGCCTTTGGTCGTTGCGTCGGGTCCGCCTTGCTGTCTGCATGATGCCTTTGAAAGTACCCCTTATTTGAACGAACTGTTTGGAATGAGGTGCTTTGGTCTAGCAAGAAAGCTTGGCATTCTGTTCTGCATGCCTTGGGGCTGTCCACGTGCTCACAGGTTAGCAGGGCAACTAGTTTCAGCGTCCGAAGAGAGCTCAGCAGCCATGACGAACATCGGGGAGAAGCTCCTCGTGCTGTTGACCTTCCTCTTCAGCCTGGTGATCAATGGTTTGGCTGCGAGCGGTTCTCTTTCGGCCGACACCATCGCCGAAGTGTCCGACAAGTACCCGAGCTATGTCACTCCGGACAGGTTGACCTTCGCCGTCTGGGGTGTGATCTACTTACTCGAACTTTTACTCGTAGTAGCCCAATTTGGCACCAGTGAGCGTACAGAAAAGGCGCTGTCCAAACCAGGTTGCCTGACAGCCCTCCCGGTTCGTTGGCGCTTGATCATGGCCTTCCTGCTTAATGCGCTTTGGCTGCCGCTCTACACCAACTTGCAATTTGGGAAGGCGCTGCTGGTCATCATTCTCTACTTGATACTACTCGCCTCGATCTACATCGATGTCAACACGGTTTCTTTGCAGTCGTTTTGGGAGTGGGTCGTGTTCGGGTCCGGCATTGCCTGCAATCTCAGTTGGGTGATCGTAGCAACCCTTGCCAACAAGTTCAATCTGGCAGCAAGCTACGGCATCGGAGTAGATCAGCCCCTCGGGCTGATTCAGCGGGTCGTAAAGCTGGCGGCTGACTTTTTTCTCAATTTGGCACAGCCTTACATAGAACAACTCCTTTTACCGCAAACACTCCTAACTACACATTGCCTGCAGATGTCTGCTCGTTTGTCGCGTTGCATGCACCTCCTCTTTTTACACACAGCGTGCAGAGAGTGGCATCCTTTCCCAATGCTTCATCGAGGTTGTGCGACTGCCAAACCCCTGTGATTCTGCGACATGTCCCATGATGAGTCAGCTGAGGCTTATACCATAAACCAGACGAAGAATCCCTGCGCAGTTTGAGGTTTAGTAGCCTGCTGGCAGGTATGGAGTTGCTGGGTCTCCCCATCTTGCGATTTTGTTGGTTGCGCTCCTCGCTGCCAAAGCCATCGTTATGGGCACCGCACGGAGTGACCTTGCTTGGTCCCTGGTGGCGGTGGCCCAATCGCACTGAGGAAATGTGGTTTCCTTGAACTGATGATTCAACCCCGTCTTGCACTTCCAACCGGGCTTGCAAGACCTTACAAACCAGCGAAGCTAGGCAGAACCTTATTGAACCACCAACCTCAATCCCTGCCAAAGATCCACAGTAACCCCGCAGGTTTGGTTCCTCGCCGGCCTCTATCGCCAGCACACCTACCCCAGCAACTTTCCTCAGGAGCCCTGCGCTGGAGAACAAGTGAATCAGAACCCCCAGACTTTGAAGCATTAAGTCCGAAGCTCGCAACTTGTCAACCCAAATCCAAAAGCTAAACCCAGAAGGTTTGAATCCTACACCACTAGCCTAAGTCCCTTAACCTTACACCTTAGAAATCGAGGCTTTAAAGCCTTCTAAAGCCCTTACACCTAGAAAAACGAGGCTTTAAAGCTTTCTAAAGCCTCGAACCCAGAAACCCTAAACCCTAAACCCTAAACCCTAAACCGTGGCAAGGGCAACTCGAAACACCCAGCAGCTCTTTCCAGCCCCCCCAGGAGGCCATGAGCCGGACCTTGGCTTTGGCACCCCGGGCTTCTTAAAGGTAGGGTTTAGGGTTTAGG